TTATAATTGAACTTGCCAAAAAAGGCAAATGGAGCCCATAGCCATAGCTTGTGAAGTTGCAAAAGTTGAACCAAATTAAAATCTGTCGTTGAATATTATAATTTTTTGCAATAAACTACACAAAATTCAAATTTTGATGTCAAGTTTTTTCACCATACTTTTGTAACATTGTCTTTTGAAAAGTAAACAGAGGATCTCATTCACGATCGTATTAAAGTCAAGTTTTGGTGATTATAATTTAATGCTTTGCAAGATGATGGTTCGTTGGAAAATTTATTAATTTTAAAATTCGACTATTTGTTGAAGCTTAAATACGGGTTTTATGTGAATAAATGAAATTCGTGCGATTGAATTATTATAATTTTTTTTATGACAGGGAAATCCTCAGTCGCTACTTTTCGAGTGCGTACTTGGTATATTCTCGAACTGATGTAATAGCCTGCAAATCACGTCAGTCAGGGAACTGCACTAGACAATCCCTGTGCGATAGAATTGACTGAGAAAATGTTGGTAGAAGGAATCGAACTTGTGATCAAAAACCTCCGCGCTTACCTACTCCACCAACTCAACCATCGCATGAGCGGTTGAATTATTATAATTTATTATTACTTTTCGGTGTAAGTTTGCATGAGCCAAATTTTGAAAGGTACTTTCGAAAAGGAAATAAATCGCATTGTTTGTCAAATTGTGTAAATGCCAATTTTCCATGTTAGATTTTCTTTGCGAGTTAATTAAGCACCGGCCTTTTTGGGCTATTCTTATCTTTGGTCTACATTCACCAATATGTTCTTTAAAATGTAGTATAACGATAGAATAAAGTCAACAAAAGACAGCCACTAGCTTTTTCATAGGGCGTGTGGACATAAATTTTTCTTCATACGATAGAATAAGAGTTGTAACAGCAGTGGGACGAGTCAATGGTCGATTCGACATATCTCACATATGAGTCGGATTGAATATATGTATATATATTTTTTGAGCCATTTACCAATTCACACGTGTCAACTTGTCAGCTCTCATCCAGGAAACGAAAAGTAAAAAGAAAATAGAAATAAGTGAAATTCTAATTTAAAAAAATGTGCAAGTCGACTCGCGTAAAGCTTGTCCTTCTAATGAGCATGACCGACTTGACGATAGACTACTTTTATTATTAATATTGCTGACACAACTAAAACGGTTTTACAGAAATGGAAGGACTAACCTGGCTGTACAGGTCACTCACACATGCAAGGAGTAGATGAATTTTTCTTTTTAATAATCACCTACCCACCTCTACATGTGTCTGGCCTTTACAGACCCTATGAAACATTGACCTATACGGCCAGAATTATCCGAAATGGAAATGCAAACCACTCTTCTCCACAAAACAAATTTCCACCATGTTTAGCTAATTTTTAAGAGTAAAATTTACATTTTAATAGTTTTTTTTTTCTTTATCATATTTGCGTATATTATTAAATATTTTTTTTCCTTTTAATTAAAAATATTACTTATTCTGAAAGTATTGCTCCCTCTCTAATTTTCAACCTCGACAACTTATTCACTTCTAAGTAAATCTATTAAGCTTAGCCATCATGCAATTTATGGTCTTTGACACAAATGTTGCATCATTAAGATCCTTAAAGGTATAGAATAATATTATTCATTTAAACTTTTAGACGATCATCATTTTATGCGATAATGTTCATCATCTAAACTCTAAATGAATTGAACTACTTGTTTATAAATTTGCGTGCGTCTACATTAAAATCCTCTATTAGATAGACCTAAGACATACTCTTCATAAGCCCGTTAAA